TTTAAAAATTAATGATGAAAGGAAATTAATTGTACCATTAAAATCAGGGGAAACGAATATACGGTATTATGTTACCAATGAAGAATTGTTCAGTATACTATATGAAACTCACACCAGAATAGATCACAGAGGAAGAACACGTATGCTTAAAATGTACTATGTGTTTTAAATTCTTGGTCACTCCTCTCAGAAAAAGAGGCGCAAAAGTTACGTCACCCTTGCGACGTTTTATAGCGACTGAATTACGGAGAAGAAAATATAAATCTCCGACATGTTCAACATTCACCATTAGTGCATGGTAAATGTCGACATTTACCGGTGTAAGTCAGAAATAAGGGTATTTAGCAAATATTTCGGACATACACCAAGCGACTATGTGAATGTCGACATTTACCGGTGTAAGTCGACATTCTCCAGATTTCGGTCTTTCACGGTAACGAATATACAACACAGTATTTCTGTACAAGGTGAATTAATTATTGACATCTCAATGTTTATCAAGAATATAAAAAATACAAGGAAAACAGGCTTCACAAATACAACGAAAAGGGTTTTTTCTATTGTAATTTGCTACCTTGATTTTTTAACGAAGTGGTACACTGTTTCATAATATGATCCAAAGTACAGGGCTATTCATAATAAAGTAGATGAGATGTTACGAGGCTCTTAACTCTGTCATTAGAGTATTTAGAACATAGTATGCATGTTTTTTATTAGTCATTAAAGCACTGAATAAAATTAACTCACGGTACTCTGCGAGAAGTGCATAAAAAGTACACTAGAATTAATAAGATTATTTGCTGCGGAAAGAGAAAGAAATATTTTCATATTTTCATGTCATTTTTGAGGAATTTGATGAAATTTGTGGTTGTGGACGATCTTTTAAATGTTGATTCTTTATTACTTATATTTTATACTCTTATGAATATATTTTTAATGTTAGAAACAATTAACTTGAAAATTAATTGGGTTAAGAGATTTTAAGACTGTCTTATTAATTTCATTTTTTAATTGAATTAAAAAATTTAAAAATGAACTGAGTTAATTTTTGTAATAATCTGAGTTAATTGATTTTAAAACTAACTTAACTAATTGATTTTTCTATTAAACTGAATTAATTGATTCTGAAGCTGAATTCATTAATTGATTTTTAGGATTGATCAAATTAACTGATTTTTATAATTAATTTAGTTATTTGATTTAAAAATTAATTTAATTCATAGATTTTTAAAATGATTTTTAATGAATTGATTTTTATAATGGTCTGAATTAATTGATTTGAAAACTGACTTAATTAATTGATTGTTAGGATTGATTTAATTAACTGATTTTTGCAATTGATTTCAATCTTAAGTAATCGATTTTAAAACTAACTTAACGTATTAGACAGTTTCCTTGTTTTCACTGTGAAATCAGGAAGAAATTCCTCGGTATACTGGAGAAACGAGAATTATCATAGGTAGTTCTGGTTTTTTCTATGTGAGGAATACGTTTGTTATCTGCTTTCAACTAAGAATCCATTCAACGAATAATCTCGATGCAACGTGTTTCAATGAACTTGAAATCATCATAACATTTGAAATCTAAATTGATTAAAATCTTACGGAACTAACGTACGTAGAATATTCAGAGAAATCGACTGCAAATAAAAAAATAGTCTCGTTTAAAAATTTATTGCTTCATAATAATTCGAATAATTTTTCTTCCCTTTCACATCGTGCAAGTTCTATGTATAACATCTTTTCATGTTTTTTATAAAATTAATTAGTTATTATTATAACTGGTCATTATTGCAAATGACTTTTTAATTATTTTTACAAAGTAAATATTTAAAATTTGTATGCGACATATTTTTTAAAATAACAAACAGTTCTTGCGTTTGTTAAGTATTTAATGAAGAAGATAAATATTGTTACGAATGACATCTCAATTATTTTTACAAAAGAAATTATGAAAAAAGAAATTACAAATATTTAAAATTTGTATGCAACACATTTCTTAAAATTACAAACTATTTGCTAACTACACAATGAAAAAAAGAAATCAAATTAATTACATAGTGAAAATTTTTAATTAAAGACTGCCAAAGGTTTCCAAGCGCATCGACATGTGAGAGTACCTTAAACACACTAGGAAGATAATCGAAAGTGTACACAACGTTTACTAAAACACATATAACCGTTCATTAGATAATTCAATATTTTAAAGACCACCGTAACGTGAGAATTCGTTCATTGTCCTAAATAGTGTTAGATAAACCAAAGTGTGCAGGAATTAAATTCCATCGACAGCATCGATTTAATCCCTCTCTCAAGTTCACCGAAACCTTTCTACTTTTCCATATTATACACAGCTGTTGCAGAGAGTTTCTCCCCGTTCGATTGAAAAGTTCTGAGAGAACGGCACGTAACTTATCCGTGCTGTGTGGAACAAGTCTTCGTAACTGTAAAGTGTGT